CCTGTAAACCCAGGATATCAGGAAAACCACTTCAAGCCAGGGGTGCTACTGCACCCCTAGTTCCAAGAAACGTCCGAGGCCTATGCAGCAGCATGGCATCTGCTCGGTCTCTTGATGCTGGATTCTCCAGTAGTGCAGGAGACAAACCGGCTGGAATTGCTTGATCCTTGGGCTTCTGTGATCCCAGGAACCCCTCAATGCCCACTAGCAGAGGGTTCCCCATACCGTAACTCACCTCAAACCTGATACATTCATTGCCTCAACACACTCTTATCATAAATATATCACAAAGGTGTCATGTAAGGTATGATATGTAAACTGGTGACACACTGATCCCAAAATCATTGCATGATGTACGTATGGGTTGTGCATGCGTTATAGATGTGTGCTGGAAATATGTTCTTAATAAAACTAACCTGCCCTAGATAAATGAATGTGTATTTACCTGTCTGACAGGCTTGGTTACAGGCAAAGAACAATTAAAATGCGATTATGTATAAGGTAAACAAAGCCATCAAACTAAACGAGTGGGGGAGAAAACTATTCAACAGAATTTGCACCCCAGGAAGACTTCCTGGCTCTTCAGGCAGAGACCATGGACTTTGAGTAATATAAGAGACGCAAAAAAGACTCAGTGGCAGGGAGAGCACAGCAGGCTGGGAGTCAGAGGCACTGGGAGACATTTGTGAGGCCCCATGAAAGGAGCTGTAAGTCAGGATTGAGGTACGTTAGCAAAGGTTTGTGGGGACCTGGCCTAAATCAAAGGTGCTGTTGGATTTTGAGGCCCTGACGCAGTTGCTTCTGGGGTAAGACCAGGGAGCTGATCTGCTCATCCACCACCCAGTGACCCAGCCTCTCCCTTAAGAAGTAGGCAAGCCTTCTTATCTTGCCTAATGTAGGGTTACCATACGTCCGTTTTCTCCCGGACATGTCCGGCTTTTTGGTACTCAAACCCCCGTCTGGGGGGAATTGCCAAAAAGCCGAACATGTCCGGGAAAAATACCACCGGCCGGGCACTTCCCCTCCCGCGGCTGCTGTGCTCCTCCCCTGACTCTTCGGCTCTGTTTAAGAGCCGAGCTGCCCGAGCGCTACCGGCTTCGGGCAGCCCCCTTGCCTCCGGACCCTGAGCTGCCGGCCGGGCACTTCCCCTCCCGGGCTCCGGGGGCGCAGGGTCCAGAGGC